GCCACTTCTGGCTTTTTTTTTTGCTTATGTGGTGCTGAGGAATCAAACCCAGGACCTCAGGCATGCAAGGCAAGTGCTCTACCACTGAGCCAACTTCCCAGCCCCTAGAGCATTAGTCTTGAGCAAAAAAAGCTCAGGGAAAGCTGGGGGTCAGTGGTTCACACCTGTAATCCTAACAGCTCAGGAGGCTGAGATCTTAGGATCATGGCTCAAAGTCAGCTAGGGCAGGAAAGTCAGTGAGACTCTTATCTCCAATTAATCCCAGAAAAAGCCAGAAGTGGTGCTGTGGCTCAACTGGTAGCATACTAACCTTGAGCAAAAGAAGCAGGGCATTGGTGGTTCACACCTGTAATCTTATCTATTCAGGTGGCTGAGATCTGAGGATCACAGTTCAAAGTCAGCCTAGGCAGGAAAGTCTGTGAGACTCTTATCTCCAATTGACCATCAGAAAACCGGAAGTGCCCCTGTGGCTTAAGTGGGAGAGCACTAGCCTTGAGCTGAAGAGCTGACAGTACCCAGGCCCAACCAAAAAAAAAAAAGAAGAGGGGTGGGAAGGTAGCTGTAGAGTGCTTGCCTTGCATGCATGAAGCCCTGTGTTCAATTCCTCAGCACCACATAAGCAGAAAAAGCCAGAAGGGGTGCTGTGGCTCAAGTTGTAGAGCGCTAGCCTTCAGCTGAAGAGCTGAGGGACAGTGCCCAGAACCAGAGTTCAGGTCCCACTACGGACAAAAAGAAGAAGGAGAAGGAGAAGAACAAGGAGGAAGAAGGAGAAGCAGCAGCAGCAGCAGCTCAGAGACAGTGATCAGGGTCTGAGTGCAAGCCCCAGGACTGAGAGAGAAAAAGCAAAGAAAAAAAGAGCTGCAAGTGGATGTGTGGTAGAGTGTCAGCCTTGAATGAAAAAGGCTAAGGGATAGTGCCCAGATCGTGAGTTCAACACCTAGTGCCAGCACAAGAAAGAGAAGGGGGGGGAGGAGGAGAGGGGAGAGAGAGAAAAGGAGAGAGAAATGCAAGGTGCTAAAGTAACAGAGGCAAGAGCCTTGACCCCAGGGCTCGCCATCGTTTAGGAGGGAAGAGGTAGAGATGGAGAGGAGACAGCACCACTGATGGGTAGTGGGGAGGAGCCACGAGCACCAGGCAGCTCTCAGGGATCTCTGGCTGTTCTACCTTGTTGCCAAGAAGGGGGATGTAACCGTGGCTGATGCTCCACTTCTTGAGGTTGACAGGCCGACGTGTGCGACCTCGCAGAGAGCCGTAATGGAAGACCTCATTGGCACTGTTGGAGCTGTAGAGGATGAGGATGGTGATGAGGGCAAAGAGGATCACGAACACTGCTGACCGCTGCTCCTGGAGAGGAAAGAGGCTGTTGAGGGCCCAGGCACCCAGCGGGCTTGGCATCTTACCTCCTTGCTGCCCACCATGCCTGGCTCCCTCTGGCTTTTCACACCAGAGCAGTCAGGACACCAACTCCTCCAGCAACCTGTGGTTACCCTTAGCAGAGCACTGACAATCTGCTACCCCCTCAGACTGGCTCCCTGAGGACTGGGACAGGGTCAGCTTTGTACCCAGGTCCCAGGTCTGCAGCACTGGAGGTGCTTGGGGTGGGTTGGCTCCAGTGAATTGGGTGTAGGGACAGGATTCCCTCCAAATGCAGCTAAAAGGATGCTTAAGAGACAGGTGAGGGTACCAAATGAGGCTTGGGTCTTCTCCAAACCATTCTCCATAACTTATCCTTATATAGTCAGTTTTCCAGTACCCGAAGCTCCCAATCCAGAGATTTAACCAACCAGGAATCAAAAATGTAGTTAGCAGGGCCCCAGTGACTCATGCCTATAATCCTGACTACTGGGGAGGAGAATTGCAGTTTGCAGCCAGCAGGGGCAAACAAAGCTGAGAAACTCTTATGTCTAAGTTACAAAAGGCCATAGGTGGAGGTATGGCTCAAATGCCTACGAGTCAAAAGGCTAAGCAAGGAAGTAAGGCTTTGAGTTCAAGTCTCAGCGTGCACACACCTCTGATGGCTGTATCTTTACTGAACATGCACGGACTTTTCTTGTCATTACTCCCTAAATAATACAGTATAACAATTCATATAGCATATACATTGTATTCAATATTACAAGCAATTTAGAGAGGATTTAAAGTCCACTGGAGAATCTATGTAGGTAATATGCACATTCTAAGCTATTTTTTCTAAGGAACTTGAGCATCCCTGGATTTTGTATCCTCAGGAGATTCTAGAACTAGTCCCCCATATATATAAGGGAACAGCTATTTGTCCAAGCCCTTCTATTTGCCTGCTCTGTGGAAATGGATGTAAGCCCTCTGCATATTTTCCCTTGGCAGTAGAGGATGCTGGGGATGCTGCATTTGGGTCTGGGTGCTAGTGGGCTTACGAGGAGGACTCCTGCAGTGCCCACAGCTTCTCAGATAAAGGCTTCTTCCCCAGTGCTCAGATTAGCAGCTCTGAGCAGCCTAGGTGGGCACCCTAGTGCCGCTGGCTCCTTCTGTGATCCTGCTTCTCCCAAGTCCCACTCTTCCAGAGCACTCAGCTGCCCGCAATGCCCACAGGCAAACAGCTTTCCTTCCCAGAGCTGGCTCCATCAGGGCCTGGCTCTTAGCCCTTGGGTGGAAGGACTCTTTAAGTTTACATCCTGATAAATGCCTCAGAAATTGAAAATATACGAAATGAGAAAATACATTCAGTAGTACATGTAGCCTTCTAACTGCGAGTGCTGATACGTCCCTCTCATGAGCACAGAGCTTTCTGGAAATGGTGAGTCAGTGCCTTGCCAAGTATCACAAGAGTGTCACACCGCATATTACTAGCCACAGAAAAGATCAAAGTTCAAAGTGTAGTCCCTACTGATTGCATGTCCCTTTTATACCATTAAGAGTCAGAAATAACAGGGCTGGGAAAGTGGCTCAGTGGAAGAGTGCTTGCCTTGCATGCATGAGGCCCTGGGTTCAATTCCTCAGCACCACATAAGCAGAAAAAGCCAGAAGTGCTGCTGTGGCTCTACGCACTAGCCTTGAGCTGAAGAGCTGAAGGGCAGCGCCCAGGCCCTGAGTCCAAGCCCACACACACAAAAATCCTAAGTCAAATCACCACCCTGTCTGTGACATTTATATTTCTTAGTTTCAATCCTTTATTACTCCAATATCCAGTAAACACTGACATCCAGAGTACTGTGAACACTAGGCTACCACAACCACCCCCCACCTCCAGATGTCACCCTCTGCCGAAGGCTATCATGGAAAAAGTGGTGGAGGCTTGGCACACAGTAGGTGCTCAGGAAAGCATGAATAAATAAATGCTGGAGAATCTTGATATCATCCATGATGTTCACACTGCATCATCTTCTGAACTCTGCCCTTCCCCCAGCCCCCTGCTCACTTCCGGTGCTCCATCCCACCTCCAGTGCTCCATCTCCTAGTCACCTTTACCTGACTGATAGATGTAGAACAACAGGGGAGAGGCAGGAGCTTCCCAAAGCCACTCAGCAGATCAGTGGCCACAGCAGGACTGGAACTGGAATGCCTCCCAGGCCAGCAGCTCCCTTTGGCAGGTTAGAGTCATGGGGGTCGTGTTGGAGGCAGGTCCAAAGGAGCCCATTTCACAGTGGAAAGTGAGAGACTCGGACTGGGATAAGGAAGGAAGGGGACTTACTTTGTTGCTACTCATCTCTCTCCGGCGTCTGCTGAGGGGTAGGGGCCAGCGTCCTGCAGGTGGCCCGGGGGGCAGGGATGTGGGGTCACACCTGCAAGCCACCAGAAAGGATTATGGCCTGGGCACCCTCTGCTGGGTCCAGCCGGTCAGAGGCCTCGCCCTCTCAACCCAGACATCTCTCCCACACGCCCAGAACTTTAAGGCTCAGGGTGGTATCCAATTTACAGAGAGAGATACTGAGGGGCAGGAAAGGGAAGGAATCAGTCTGAGCTGGTAAAGGTGGAACGCTGTGTGGTTCCGCATCTACTTTCTGAACACTAATGGCAGAAGCCTTGTTCGCATCCTGTTCTAACCTCCAACATCCCTTGTAGGCCTCCAAACTCCTCTGCTGGTTCCCTTGGGTCTGAGGTCGGCCTTTCTGAGACTCTCCCTCCAACACCCTCCTGACTCCCACTCATTCTTCAAGCCTAGGGTAGACCAGCAACTTCCTGGGTCCTCCTCCAGCCTGGGAGCTCCTGGAGGCACAGTTCACTCAGATTCTCCCCCTGGGCCTCCACAGCTGCAGGGACAGCAGGAGGTACACATCCATCAGAGAATTCAGACATTGGCAAGTGCGATCCAGGGGTCCAGGGCAGTCACAGAGGTCTAGTCCTGGCCCGGCAGACACTACCAGCGTTGACACTCCTCATCGGTCCAAGGCTCTGGTCTCAATCCTGGACAGCTTTCCTTCCGGCCCCAGCCAGGGCCTGGGGAAATCAGGCTCCTCGCTCCCAGGCCCTCCCTTCTCTCCTCCCCAGGGCCTGAGCCCTTCTGCACGCTTGAATTTCCCCACCTGTAAACCTGGCATGCGAACTTGCCTCCAGTCCACCTCCACCAGGCTGGGCCAGAGGGTGGAAAAAGGGCCTGCCTGGGGGAGAGGGCTCCCCAGCTCTGTCCCCTCCTGCAGAGGCCTCTCCCTCCGGCCACTATCTCCGCCCCCTGACCTAGCAGCTGTTTAGCTGTTTACTCCCACGCCAGGAATAGCCCCAGAAACTCAGGCCCAGCTCCACACACCCTGCTTCTGATTGGCCAGTTCCTGGCCCCGCCCCTCCCTAGTGCCCCACCCCCGTCCAGCCCAAGGAGACCCTCCCCACCCCCCAACTCCCATGGATCGGGAAACTGAGGCATATCAGAAAGGGGGAGCGCTTGTCCCCTCAGCCCTGCGGCCTTGGTCAACCAAGGCCCTGGCCCAGGACCAGACCTTCCTTCTCCTGAACCCCCCCTTCCTGTGCTTGCCCCTGCGCTCCGGGCACCTGGCAAGCTCCAGGTCCCAGCCCACGCCCCCACTTTCCCACCTTTGCCTGAGCAGTGCCCTCAGCCAGGACCACGGTCCCCCTGGTCAGCCCCGTCACAGTCCTGCTCTGAGAAGGCCATGGTAAAGTGACAGCAAGTCAGGTCAGGCGCCAGTGCCAACTGTCGGGTCCACCACTTACTGGCTGGGGGGCTTCGAGCAAGCCATGTGACCTCTCTGAGCCTCAGTTTCCTCATCTGTGGAATGGGATAACAAGAACAGGGGAAGGGGAGGTTACTGGGACAATTCAAGTCGACCCAGCAAGGGGCGCCCTGGGCGTGGAAGTGCCCCATAACGCCAGCAGCTCTTAAGTCTTGGGTTTTAGGGGTTTTTCCCTTCTCCACTGTTCAAGGCCCACGTCTCCATGATGAGGCTGCCGGTGAACACCCCCACCTCGCCCGCCCCCCCGCCAGGACTCGTGCCTCGAGGCCTGGCCCTGGCATCGCCCCGCTGAGCTCCCACTCTCCATTTCACAGATGGGGAAACTGAGGCTCAGAAAGGAGGCCTTGCGGCAGCCCGAGCCAGCTCGGGGAGCCTGCTTCACAGGACAGAACCCGGCGGGGTCCCCCGGGAAGAAGCCCGGGGGTGCGGGGCGCGCGCCGAGCACTGGCTGGGGGGGCGCTGCGCCCCGGGGCGGAGGGCGGGACGCCCCACGATGCCCCCTCCGGGGAGATGGGCCCCCCTGCCCCCTCCGCGCCCCAGGCTCCGGGAACCTTAACCCCACCCAGCCCGCGAGCGAAGCGGGCGGCGGGAGGCCGCGCGAGACCCGGGGTCTCGGGGTGCGGCTACCCAGAGGGAGGGAGTGCAGGGGGGACCCCGCGTCCATCCCCTCCCCGGCGGCCCCCGATTTCCCCTGTGCAGGCAGAGCTCCCCCCCCCCGGCGCCCTCCGCTCAGCCCCCCGCGTTCCCCGCTCACCTCCGCTGGGGAGCGCCGGGCCCCCCGCGGCCCCCGACCCCCCTCACATGGCGCCGGGAGCCGAGAGCCGGGGTCTGCGCCGCTCCGGCCGGCCGCCCAGGCCCCGCTGCAGCCCCGGCCCGCGGGGTCCTAGCGCCGCGCGCCGCCGGGCCAGGCCGGGAGGTGGGCGGAGCCTCCGGCGGTGGCCCCGCCCCGGAGAAGCGCGCCCGAGGGAGAGGCGCGCGCGAGGGAGAGGCGCGGGCGCGAAGGCGGAGGGGCGGGCGAGCCCCGTCCTGCGGCCCCGAGGGCGCATCAGTCACCCCGTCTGGGCAGCTCACTGTGACTGTGACACTAACAACAGCCTTTCTGAGCCCTTGTACGGTGAGTCTGGCCCACTTCTCACTCTCCTTACAAGCATCAGGTCCCTGGATGGGGAAACTGAGTCCCAGAGCACTCCGGGCTTGGACGCTGATAATTTCTCTCGGGACATCCCAACAGAGAGCCATCCTTCCCAGAGCCTGGGAACGGAAAGTCACCCCGGGGCGAATTTAAAGCTCACGCACGGGGCTGGGAAGGTGGCTCATTGGTAGAGTGCTTGCCTTGCATGCTCGAGGCCCTGGGTTCGATTCCTCAGCACCACATAAGCAAAAAGAAAAAAAGCGGGAAGTGGCGCTGTGGCTCAAGTGGTAGAGCACTAGCCTTGAGCTGAAGAGCTGAGGGACAGCACCCAGGCCCAGAGTTCAGGCCCCATGACCGGACCCAAAGAAAAAAAAGCTCACACATTCAAGACCAGAGCACTCAGATTTGCAGCCTTACTACTTGCCTTACTTCTCGTTTGCCTCTGGGAACTGGAGAGAATGAGGATTTAAAAATATCTTTTTTTTCTTTTTGAGGGTTGCCAGTGGCTCACACCTGTAATCCTAGCTCCTCGGGCTGCTGAGGTCTGAGGATTGCAGTTCAAAGCCAGTGTGGGCAGAAGGTTGTAAGATCTTTATGTCAATTAATCAGCAAAGTGCAAGAAGTGGAGCTGTGGCTCAAGTGGTAGAGCACCAACTCCATGTGGGGGAGCCAAGAGGGAGGTCAAAGCTCTGAGTTTAAACTCTAGTACCAACACACACACACACACACACACACACACACACGCACGCACACTAAGCATTAATCACATTATTTTATGTAACAGTGAAAAGTAACTTAAGTAGTCCTTGTTAAAACCAGACACCAATGGCTCACATTTGTAATGCTAGCTACTCAGGAAGCTGAAATCTGAGGATCACAGTTCAAATCCAGCTAGGCAGAAAGGTCCATGAGACTCGTATCTCCAATAACCAGCAAAATACTGGAAGTAGAACTGTGACTCAAGTGGTAGAGCACCAACCTTGAGCAGAAAAAGCTAAGTGATAATGCCCAGAATTCAAGTCCCAGTACACACACACACACACACACACACACAAAGTAACCATTGTTGGGGGACTGGTTTTATAACCCATTTAAGTACTTCTAAGCCTATTAAATTGAAATGCTATAGGTCAATGAGCTCTTCCAGAAAAGGGTGTCCAGGCCACTTATGGGATACTTAAGTAAAGAGAGCAAAGTTTAAAGAACCGTTTCTTGGAAAACAAAGTGGTAAAATTTTCCATTCTACTCCTGGGAACGTATACCCTGGGGAAATCCTCGCAGATGCCCACACCCAAGTCCACAGCAGCACTGCTTGAGATAACACAAGTAAACCAGCCAAATTACCCATCAATAGGAGAGCAGACTACTTTTGTACTACACATTTGCACTAAAGAGTTATTACATAGCAGAGGAAATGGATGAGCTTCAGTCCTATGGATGACTTGTAGAGACATGAAAAAGATAAATGTTGGAAGATGAGTGAAATGATACAGCATTATTTAAGCACAAAGCAAACAGTAGCTCAGCTCTTACAGCGGGGCCTGAAGATAGCTTTACCTATTACAGTGATGACAGGTTTTTTGTGGGGTTTTTGTTTTCAGTCATGGGGATTGAACTCTGGGCCTGGGCGCTGTCCCTGGAGCTCTTCAGCTCAAGGCTAGCGCGCTACCACTTAAGCCACAGTACCACTTCTGGTTTTCTGGTGGTTTATTGGAGATAAGAGTCTCATGGGTTTTCCTGCCCAGGCTGGCTTTGAACCATGATCCTCAGATCTCAGCCACCTGAGTAACTAGGATTACAGGCGTGATAACAGTTTATAAAACAAAAAACTAGGGCTGAGAAGGTGGCTCAGTGGTAGAGTGCTTGCCTCACATGCATGAGGCCCTGGGTTCAATTCCTCAGTACCACATAAACAGATAAAGCCAGAACTGGCGCTGTGGCTCAAGTGGCAGAGCACTAGCCTTGAGCTGAAGAGCTGAGGGACAGCACCCAGGCCCAGAGTTCAAGCTCCACAACAGACAAAAAAATAAATAAAGAAAAGAAAGAAAAAAAAGTGAAGAACACAGTTGTAGTCCGGCACCTGTGGCTCACTCCTGTAATCCTAGTTACTCAGAAGGCTGAGATCTGAGGACCATGGTTCAAAGCCAGCCCGGGCAGGAAAGTCCATGACACTCATCTCCAATTAACCACCAGAAAACAACTGGAAGTGGTGCTGTGGCTCAAATGGTAGAGTGCTCACCTTGAGCTGCAGAGCTCAGGGACAGCACCCAGGCCCAGAGTTCAAGCCCCACAATCAAAAAAAAAAAAACAACAACAACAACACAGTTCTGTCCCCAAAGGAGGATATGAAAAGGTGTATATATACATGGTAGTAATAGTCTAGTCTGTAAGAGGGACTTGAATTCAAGATGTTCATAATATTCTTATGTGTTATGTTACAAATATGACATTATGTATACACAGGTAAACCACACAAAAAAGAGAAAAAGATAAAGCAAATGAAAATGAGATGTACTTGCATTAAGATTAAAGTGTTGGGGGGGGGATTAATGTGTTATGGGCATATTGGCACCCACATGTAATCTCAGCACTCAGGAGGCTGAGGCAGAAGTACCTAGTCCAAGGTCAGATTGGGCAACACAGTGAGACCCCACCTCATAGCCAGGCATTGAAGAGGCTGAGATCTGAGGATCACAGTTCCAAGCCAGCTTGGACAGGAAAGTTTGTGAGATTCTTATCTCCAGTTAGCTACTAAAATGCCAGCAGTGGAGATATGGCTCAAGTGGTAGCGCATCAGTCTTTAGTGAAAAAGCTAAGCAGGAGCCTGAAGCTGAATTCAAATCCTAGTGTGCTAGCACATATGCACAGGGCACAACAGCACATGTGTACACACACACACAAACATACACACACACTCAAGTCACCACATGACACGTTAATAGTAGTTCTGGAATGCTATTTGGGACATTTTTTTTCTTTTGGCCCAACTATATTTTTTCAACAATTAAGAAAATGGTCACACAAGATTTTTTTTTTTAATTAAAATTTCTGGACATCAGTGACTCAATCCTATAATCCTAGCTACTCAGGAGGCTGAGATCTGACGATCAAGGTTCAAAGCCAGCCTGGGCAGGAAAGTCTATGCGACTCTTATCTCCAATTAACCACCAAAAAAGCCAAAGTGGAGCTGTGGCTCAAGTGGTAAAGCCCCCAGGCCCTAAGTTCAAACCCCAGGACAGTACATGCACAAAAACAATACAATTCATACAGTGTTTGTAAAGCTACTGAAAAAGTGTGGACAGAATCCACCCCTGACAACAGCAGGAGTTCCAGGATGGATGTGAGCAACGGGAGTGAAGTCACTCTCACTTTCAGCTTTATAAGCTTCTACGTTCTTTGTAGGGTACTCATTCAGTAAATTATTAGCACTTTGCTGTTAATTTACCAAATTAGTAAATTTGTTACTTTTTTTAACTGCTAAACAGGTCCTTGGTGGCTGTACCTTTAATCCTAGCTGCTCAAAAAGCTGAGATTTCGAGGCTTGAGGCTTAAAGCTAGACTCCATCTCCAATTAACCAGCAAAGAAGCTGGCCTGAAGGTGTGGCTCAAGTAGTAGGGCACCAATTATAAGTAAAGATTAGCCTGCTTGAAGCAGAATTCAAGCTCCAGTACTGCCCACCCCCCAAGACAAGTTCGGACGGACGCCAAAGTTCAAAGCCAGCCCATGAGATTCTTATCACCAAATAACCAGCTAAAAGCTGTAAGTGGAGATTTTCAAGTGGTAGACAATTATGTAGGAGGATTTTTTTTTGGGGGGGGAGGGTCTAGCCCCCAGAGTGTAAAAGCACCAGCCAGAGGGGGTGGAACATGGATGAATACGGGTCTTCCCTTTGGAAGCCTACCTGATCCCACCCAGGTAGGGCCAGAGGCAGAACAGAAAACTAGGAAGGAAAGGCAGTCAGGCGGGAAGCACCGTGACCTGCTCAGGCCACGTGGTAAGGTTCCCCAGAGGTGGTCTTTTGCCTCCAGCTCTTCTGCACTCAGGCCCACCAGCAGGAAAGTGAGAAGGTGCCAGACTTAGACCTGAAGCTCCCCTCAGCCTAAGGCTCCAAGCCAGCCTGGACTGACAAAAACAGCCTTAAACACCTAAAACCAAGCCAGGCACCTGTAATCCTCATTACTCAGAAGGCTGTGATCTAAGGATGGAGCCTCAAAGCCAGCCCAGACAAGGAAGTCTAGACTCTTATCTCCAATTAACCAAACAAAACAACCAGAAGTGGATTGGGAATGTAGCTTAGTGGTAGAATGCTTACCTAGCATACACAAAGCACTGGGTTCAATCCTTAGTACCATATACACAGAGTTCAAGCCCCTGGGCTGGCAAGAAAGGAAAGGAAGAAAGAAGAAGAGAGAGAGAGAGAGAGAAAGAAAGAGAGAGAAAGAAAGAAAGAAAGAAAGAAAGAAAGAAAGAAAGAAAGAAAGAAAGAAAGAAAGAAAGAAAGAAAGAAAGAAAGAGCTAAGGGACAAAGCCCAGGCCCTGAGTCCAAGCTCCAGTACAAGCACAAAAAGAAAAGAAAACCAAGATTAAGACCAAGACCTAGAGGGAACAGGGCTTGCCAGACTCCCCAGAGCCGTGCACATAGGTCCGCTGGAATCCAAGCCTTCCTTTCAGCTCTGACAGAAAAGCCAGTGGGAGAGGACAGTGGCCAGGAGGTGGAGGCCTGGGCTGGCCCGGAGCACCATGCTTATCTAGAAGCACAAAGTACCTTTGTCCTCCCAGACAAAGCCTGGAACACAGGTGGCCCCAAACCCAGGATGCTGGAGAGGGAGCACCAGCCCTGGTCCTCGGACACTTTGGGGCTGTGATCCTCACCAGGCTTCCCATCCAGGCTCAGATGGAGGCTGGGCAGATCATCAGTGGGATCATGAAATGGACAGAAAAACAGAGATCCAAAGAAGAGCTCCACACCTAGGTGCACCTCTTCTCCACAGAGATGTGGGGTATCTCCTGACACCCCCCCACTCACCTTCCAGCAGCTGTGGGGCCAGGAGAGGCCAAGGAGAGGGGTCCTTGGCCTCATGGTGGGATGGCCTCCTGCAGGCAGGCCGGAGGGGACAGCTCGGGACATCCACACCTTCCAGGAGGAAGCGATTGGTGGAAGTCTCCTTCCAGTCACCTCATCGGAAACAGACAGGTTTGGGGCCAACCCAGAAGTAAACATTCCACCCGGGGGCAGGGCTAGGAAAGAGAAGCCTCTGTTCTGGGCCCAAGGGCTGAACTCTGGCTTCCTGCGAACAAGGAGGAAGAAGGGGGGAAGGGTCTGAGTTCTAATCCCTTTAGGACTCACAGAACCTTGGGCCTTGAACACCCAGAACAAGACCCTAAGCAGGGAGACAACTAATGTAGAAGGCTGGTGCTACCCTCCCCTACAAGACTCGGTAGAATCCTGTTTTGTTTTTGTGCAGGTACCGGAGCTTGAACTCAGGGCCTGGATACTAGTTAGCTTTTTCACTCAAGGTTGTCACTCTACCATGTGAGCCACAGCTCCACTTTGGTTTTTTGCTGGTTAACTGGAGATAAGAATCTCATGAATTTTTTCTGCCCTGGCTGGCTTTGAACCTTGATCCTTGGACCTCAACCTCCTGGGTGGCTAGGATCACAAGTGTGAGCCACTGACATATGCCTCATGGTGTTTAAATAGTGGCTCCCACATTTCCAATGCCAAGCTGACAAGCCCCAGGGGGAGCCCAATGGCTTTGAACGCTTGTGAGGTGAGGACGATTTTAATACTTTCACAGATGAAGAAACTGAGGCACAGAGATAGCATTTATCTGCCAGGGTCGCTCAGCCTGGCTATGAGTGGAGTCAGAATTAGGTCACACTTCACTCTCTGGCATCCATTTCAGCTGCCACCCAATTCTTGTCTGCCCAACACCTACTTAAAAGATACTGGTCACTGCCTGGCCAACGGCTGTGGTTTGGCTGCCAGCCTACTCCCCCACCCAGAGGTTTTCCTCCCCCCTCCTACTCATATACCCTTCCTGGCCACCTCGAACTGGCTAGGCCAAGGCAGGGTACAGCAGCAATTCTGGGGCCCAGAGGCCAGGTCTCTGGGCTCTCCTGAGAAGTCAGAAAAAAAGACATAATGTCCCTCATGAACCCCCAGTGTGAAATGATATTATACCTCTTTGAAAAAACAAAAAAACATTTTCAAGTTGGTGACAGATCAAACTAAATACCAGACTTGAGGTGACTACAAAGGTCATATTGGCACACCCTGAACCTAAAGCACTAGACCCCAGGGCTCCATACTTTAGTCTCCTGATTTCTGGGTGAAGGAAGAGGGGCAGGCCTGGCTGAATCCAGGTTCAGCCATTGTATCTCCTCCAAATGAACACTAGCTTCCCCTCCCAGCATGCCCGTGGACCGTATGCGCTGCTTTCCCACTCTCAAGCCAGCAAAGGCCAGGCGCTGGCCTGAGCCTGGGCTACCACATCCGACCCACTTCTAGGCAACCGTCCTCCCCTCCCAACACCCGCCCAGCGCCGCCCTCCCCCTTCCTGCCTTATAAAGGAACCAACTCCAGAGTTAATAGAGATTTAACTGGCAACATCTTTGGAATTTGACCCATGGGCCAGGAAAGAGACTAGGGGTGTCATTTCCTTCCCACTCAACTCCCACTGAGCACAGAGCAGAGATCCCAAAGAAGACAATGTCCTGGGTAAGCACCACCAGGGCAGCCCCTGAGGAGTTCTGGGGTACGGAAGGGGCTGGGCTACATGGCAGACAGAGACTGGGGTGGGGGGCGGGGGAGGGCTTGGCCTGCCCTCTAGTAAGTGGGTTATGGGTCTGCCAGGGGTATGAGGGCCCATCCCCAGGCCAGACCCATAAGCACTCGAGACGCAGCTTCCAGAAAACACACGTTTACCCGTATGTTCCAAAGATGGCCCTGGTGGTCATGGCTCAAAGACCCTCACACCTACCAAACTCCAGGTTCTAGGCTGTCCCCACCAGGGCTACCAGCCTGAGAGAATGTGGCACCAGGGGCAGCTGGGGGCAGGACTGGCACAAGGTCAGGATGCTGGTGAGTGGGAGGGGCCACTGGCCCCAGGACAGAAGGCCACTTGAGAGACCTGGTGATGGGGTGAACCCCTAAATGAAGACGTGGATTCTTCAGGAAGCAGGTGTGGAGATGAGAGCACCCTCTCCACTGGCCCTTGAGTCAGGAGACCAAAGACCCCTCCTAATGTCCCCAGGGTGGGGCAGGAAGAAACCCTAGGTCCATCTGGCAGATGGCAGGAAGCAAGAGTCACAAATTAAGGTTCACTGCTGGAGTGTGGCGACCCTGGCTGGGCCGCAGGCCGGCTGGAGGGATGCCAACTGTAGGCCTCGGGCTACTGGGCCCTCCAGGATGGGTGGGCGAACACAATGGGCCTCTTCTTGGCCCAGCGGGAGAACACGGCCTTCTCCGTGATGAAGCGATGAGCACTGCGGGGCGCCCGCTCATGGGCCAGGTACATCTGACACTCGTCCAGCCGGCCCTTCTCGAAGTAGTGGTAAGGCACGGAGGGGTGGCTCTTCTCCCTGCCAGGCAGAAACGGAGTTACATGTAATAGGCCTAATATGTATGGAGGAACACCTTTGTAGACTCCTCTCCCTAAATGGTTCAAGAACCTTTTGAAAGGTACAATACTTTTCCCCCTCTCTAAACGATTCAAGAACCAACCTTCTAAGAAAGGAAGGTGAAGTATTTTGTTGGCACCCAGGACCTCACACATGCCGGGCAGGGCCTTTACCACTGAGCTGCCTACATACTCGGCCCACAGGTACAGTGCCTTCCTAGCTTCTACCCCCCAAAAAGGGGGAGCTTCCAGGAGGCAGGGGACAGCCTCAGATAGCACTACAGGGCTAGGCATCAAAGCCGATTCCAGAGGTTCTCCCCCCCAAGGCCCAGTCTCAGGCTAGGCCACCCACCCCAAGGGCCCCACAGCGCCCAGACTTTCTGGCTTGAGGCTCGCAAGGGTTACACCCTCCCTGTCTCCTGTGCAGCCCTGCTGCTTGTCTGACCTGCAGTAGCTGTCGCTCACCATCCCGTAGACCACAATCTCCTCACAGAGCTCCAGGGCCAAGATCATGGTGAACCAGCCAGTGCTGAGGAAGGAGCCCGACTGCCTCCTAGGGGATGTGCAAACACTGTCAGCTCAGGGCAGCCCTTCTCCCGGGCCCAAGACCACACCCCTCACCTGTAGAGAGAGGAGCCTAAGGGAAGCGAGAAAGAGGTTGGGCCAGCCAGAGACTAACAGAGGGCCTGAGGCCATGCTGGATGCAAATCAGGCAAGCCTTCAGCTGCAAAGAATTTGAGCAATCCCCAGAGAACAGAGGTGGGGGGAGGGGGGGTTCAGCCCATCCTTTCCTCATCGACCCAAAGCATGGTGGCTAGGGGGGAATCTGTTTCTAGTCAAAGGCTCCATTCTGGCCCTGCCTCTGCTGTGGAGCATCAGACTTGTTCCTGTACCTCTCTGAGCCGCAGCAGCCTGTCTGTGAAATGGGGATAGTTTCACGGTGGTTTGGGAGAGGGAACCACCTATGTCAACCCAGGCCATGTCCCCAGATCCCATCTGGCACAAATGGTTGTGCGGCAGCCCCAGGCCTTAGCTCAACCTCTACCAAGAAGTTCCAGCTGGTTCAGTGCATTCAAATGAAGCACCTCTAGGCCCTAGGCTGGCCCTGAACCTGTCACACTGGATGCTAATGTTTTCAAGGAAGGAGACTGCTGGGAGACAAATATATAAACAAGATAGTGTCAGAGGTAACGTGCTGGAAGAACAGGGAAACAGAGGCATGAGGTTAAGAACGTCACTGTAGGACTTTGTAGGACAGCATAGAGCAGGTAGAGTGTGAGGGAGGGCTTCCTCGAGGAGGTGACATTTCATCCAGCCCTGAGTAAGCAATAAGAAACTAATCAACAGCTAGGAGCTGGTGACTCAACCTGTAATCCTAGCTACTCAGGAGAATGAGATCTGAGGGTTCAGGTTCAAAGCTGATTGGCAGGAAAGTCCACGAGACTCTTTATCTCCACTGTACTACCAAAAATGCTTCAAGTAGAGCTGTGACTCAAGTGGTAGAGTGTTATCCTGAGCAAAAGCTCAAGGACAACCCTCAGGCCCTGAATTCAAGTACTAGGACCAGAGGAAGGAAGGAAGGAAGAAAGGAAGCAAGGAAGGAAGGGAGGGAAGGAGGGAAGGGAGGGAGGGTGGGTGGGCAGGCAGGCTGGCAAGGGAAGAACTGGGGAGCCACACAGGCCAAAGCCTTCAGGTAAGCCAGTGTGGGTAGAACAGAGAGAGAGGAGGTAAGGTCTCAGGGCAGGTGGGGCTGGACGGCCAGGTCAGACAGGACAGGAGAGGTGAGAGGGAATCTGGACTTCATTCTCCATGGGATACAAAGCTACTGGGGGCTGAGGGCAGATGGCTGATGGAAGTGAATCCAGAAGAGTACGTGGAGAGGCCGGGATTGCAAGGGGCGAGGGAGAAAGCCAGGCCCGGCGAGAGGCTGCTGCAAAGATGAGAGCATGGTAGTCTGGGTCAAGGTGGCCCCCGAGGCACAGAAAAGGAACGAAGAGCCAGTTGTATGTATCGTGATTGTAGAGGGGAGCTGAAAAAAAGCCCAAGTTTTCAGCAGAACTACCAGAGACTGATGTCAGCTTCCTGAGCCAGGAAGTGGAGAAGGGGCAGGGGTGTGGAGAAGGAGCTGGTGGGAGTTGGGAGGCCTTTTTGGGATAAGGGATAAAACAAGATCTTAAGACTAAGTATAGTGCTTTATACCTGTAATCCCAGCCAGCTGGGGAAAGTTGACAAAAACAAAAAGGGACAGGAGCATGGTGTAAGGTCGGCTCCTGGATGGCTAGCCGACTCCACCCTCCTCACAGCAAAGTCTCCACCCAGTATCTGCGTTACCTAGGCAACTGGGACACCTGGAAGAGGTCACATCTGCATCCGCTGAGGTCACATCTGAATTTGATGTGGCCACACCTTTCCCTGCCCATACCCTACATAAGGCCTAGCCCAGGCCCAGACACTCTCTTGCTCTTCTTTTCTGCTCTCACTCTCTCTCTTGCTCTTGCTGCTCTTTTCTTGCTCTCTCTGTTCTATTCTAGCTCTCTCTCTGTTCTTTTCTTGCTCTCTCTCTTTCCCAGCCACGTGGAGTGCCAACCTTGCCTGGTCCCAGCAGGTCTACCCCTTACCTGAATACCACGTGAGTGCTACTGTTCTTACCCCTCTCTCTGCTCTTTTCTGGCTCTTTTCTCTCTCTTTCCAGCTCTCTCTCATTCCCAGGCCTTTCCCAGCCACGTGGAGTGCCAACCTTGCCTGGTCCCAGCAGGTCTACTGAATAAACCTACCCCTTACCTGAATACCACCTGCGTGCTGCTGCAGTTCTTACTCGGCTACCTCTCTTTTTAAAAACCTAACACATGGTTCAAGTGATACAGTGCCTGCCTAGTCAATACAAAGCCCTCAGTTCAAACCCCAGTACAAAAAACAAGGGCCAAGCACTGATTGCTCACACCTGTAATCCTAGCTATTCAGGAAGCTGAAGATTGAGTTTCAAAGCCAGAGGGAAAGAAAAATGTCAAGTGCCAGTCTTGAGAAAAAAAAAAAAATGAGAGCTCCAGGGCCTGAGTTAAAGGTCCAGCAACAGCATAAAAGTGAAAGAAAAGAGCTGGGCACTGGTGGCTACTCAGGAGGCTGAAATCTTAGGAACAAGGTTTAAAGCCAGACCGGGCAGGAAAGTCTGTGAGACGCTAATCTCCAATAAACCACCAGGTAACTGGAAGTGGAGCTGTGGCTCATAGTGGTAGAGCACTAGCCTTGGGCAAAAGCGTTCATGGGCCAAGTTCAAGCCCCATGACCACCACCACCACCAATAAAAGTATCAGAGAGCAATCTTGGTGTATTACTCAGTGCCTGGTGAGTGAAAGGGGCATGTTTCTGTAAGGCACCTCAGAGAACAATTCAGATGTTAGAGCACCCCTCCTAAGGGCACTGATGCCCCCTCACACCTCCTCAGCCAGCCAAGGCCCCCAGCATGTGCTCACAAGCTCACCGTGCTACTGTTTTGTTTTTTTGTTAGTCCCTAGCTCTTCAGCTCAAGGCAGGTGCTCTACCACTTGAGCCACAGCACCACTTCCGGTTTTCTAGTGGTTTACTAGAGATAAGAGTGTCACGGAGGGCTGGGCAGGTGGTTCAGTGGTAAAGTGCTTGCCTTGTATGCATGAGGCCCTGGGTTCGATTCTTCAGCACCACATAAGCAGAAAAAGCTAGAAGTGGCACTGTGGTTCAAGTGGTATTATAGTGCTAGCCTTGAGCTGAAGAGCTGCGGGACAGCGCCCAGGCCTAGAGTTTAGGCCCCATGACCGACCAAAAAAAAAAAAAAGTGTCACAGACTTTCCTGCCTGGGCTGGCTTTGAACCTCGATCCTCAGACCTCAGCCTCTTGAGTAGCTAGCTAGGATTACAGGCGTGCACCACCAGTGCCTGGCTACCACTGGATTTTAAACTTGATTGGAACGTCAATGGCTGAAAGGCCCTCCACCTTCAGTCCCCCCTTAGAGGCCAGGACTGTGTGTGACTACCACGGGCGTCTGCTGAGCCCCATGAAAGACTCCAGACAGATAAGAAGCCCCGCTCCAGGCCCCACTCACCGGTTCTTGCCTGTCTCATCTTGGAAGATCTGGTCACAGTAGGTCATCATGCGCTCAGTGAAGGTGTACACCTGCAGGCCTGGGTACATCCTGGTGAGCTGCAGCAGCGTGCGGTAGGTGCGACCGCCTAGGGTCCGGTCCATGTGCTTGCCTTGGCCCCACACCACATAGATGGTATCTCGGGCTTGTTGGAAATAGTGGGAGTAGTTGCGTAGCAACAGTGGCACGCTGGTGTGCGAGATCACACGCAGGGTGCTGCGCTGGCCCACGTCCGCCTCAAAGCCCACGGTGGGCGCCTGGTTCATGCGTAATACGCACTCTGCAGTGTCGATCTGGGAGCCTAGACCTGAGCCCAACATCTGGCCGGAGCTGGACACCACAGCACAGCTGTGGCATGGTTCACGCACAAGTGGCTGCCAGGGGAGGGGAGGGTGAGAAAATGTGAGAGGGTTGGACACACGTGGCAGGTGGGCATAGGGCTTCCAGGCACTTGCTCCTTGCCCAGTCTGACACATCCACCAACCTTCCCAAAGGCAATCATTTCAGTTCTAAGGTCTGATTTTAACCCAACTGGAAGACTGGACAGGTGAAGTAGATCCCAAGCCACACAGAGAGCAAGAGACAGAGATAAGATTCTCTGTGCAGAGCACTAGGATTCAGCCATCGCTGTGGCTGTGCTTAATTCCTTATAGTCCATACATCATGGAACCCTGTTAGGGTTACAGGAGTAAACTGGCACAGACCAGTTGTCATATATGTGCTTGCTGAGTAAACATGAACCTCAAAGCCATCACTGGTGGCTCATGCCTGTAATCCTGGCTACTCAGGAGGCGGAAATCTGGAGGACTGTGGGTCAAACCCACAGAAAAGTAACAGAAAAGTCCATGAGACTACATTTCTAAAAATAACCAGAAAACAAGTAAAAATAGCGAGGGATAGAACTGTGGTTCTAGTGGTAGAATGCCTGTCTAACAGCAAAGGGCCCGGATTTCAAACCCCAGTATTTTTACAACAACAACAAAAAGTCCGGGGGAGGGGGGGAGAGGGGGGAAGGAATCTTCGGTGTCAACAACAGCTTGGGATCGCTAGTTCTCAGCCTGAACCCTGCTCTGCCCTTCCTACACAAAATCCTCTGCCTCTGCGAGTCCATTCCCCCACTTGTAAAATGGGGCCCACGTGTGAGAACGCAGGGGGAAATTCCTGGGAGAAAGGGGAAGTTGGTGGCTGTTGGAACCCAAACAAAGGACGTTTGGAGGACAGGCTGCCCGCAGGTTGGCTCAGTGTCTTCTTGGCAGCAGGAAAATTCCCACCCCAAAGGCCTGCAGCCTATTCTATTTTCCCAAGGGAAAGCCAACAACACCCTATCAGACTTGTGAAAATCTGTCCAGAGAGGGCTGCAAAGGAGGTGCTTTGAGGACTGAAGGTTGACAGATAAGGTTTATGTTTGGGGATGGTGTACTGTGTCAGACATTTTTTTAAACCTCATTGAACTATACATTTAAAACTGGTGAATTCTGAGCCAGGCACCAGGGACTCACGCCTGTACTACTAGCTACTGAGGAGGCTAAGATCTGAGGATCATGGTTCAAAGACGGTCCACGCGCACAGTTATTTCCAATTAACCAGCTAAAAGGCAGAAGTGAAGCTGTGGCTCAAGTGGTAGACCACCAGTCTGGCATGCAAAAGCTAAGGAACAATACCCAGGCCCTGAGTTTAAGACACACACGCACACACATTCATCCTAGAACTTGGGGCTCAGAGAGGTGAAGTAGCTGGTGGTAATCCCCGTAGCTGGCGAGCAGAGAAGCCAATCTCATGATGTCCCGGCTGGCCTGGCACAAAACTGGCTCTCATTGCCCTTGGATTTGGGGCACCTTGAAGTCCTTTGCCAGGCTGACTCACCTTTCCATCCGGCACGCTGCTATAACCACTGAAGTGCAAAGGCCCCGGAACTGTGGGCTTGGAGGGAGGGAGGCGGCGGTCCAGGCAGGTGGCCAGGCAGAGGGGCATGCAGGCCCAGCAGCACAGAAGGATGTAGCCAGCAGAGGCAGCCAAGGAACACAAGGCAAAGAGCAGAAGGCGACCCTGAGGGAGACAGTGCTCATGGGGGCGGGGCCGCACCTGGCCTCCACGTCCAGATTCCACTTCAAAAGCTCCAGGAATCCCTAGTCTCCATTAACCAGACCTTCCGGGTACTGCCAGGCACCTAAGAGGCCCTGGAGATAATGTTAATACCTTCCTTCTTGATAAGAAACTGCTTTGCAGAGAAGCTTGTGGCTTAAGGCTACGTGGCAAAGAAGGGCAGGGCTTATCTTAGTCTAGGTTCGGCAGAGCCCAAATTCTTACCTGGAAGCGCTTTCACTGTGCAGCCTCTAGAAGGCCTCTGCCATACCAGTGACCATCAGCCCACAGGTCTCAGGCCCTATTCTGTCCCCAGTCTCAACTAACTCAGTATATCCTCTTAGCTGATGCCCAGGATCTAGGTCAAAAGTCCAGGAGCTGGAAGGGAACTTGAGAAGCTCTTTCAATAACCAAAACGCTGGGCTGGGAAGGTGGCTCAGTGGTAGAGCGCTTGCCTTGCATGCATGAGACCTTGAGTTCGATTCCTCAGCACCACATAAGAAAAAAGCCGGAAGTGGTGCTGTGGCTCAAGTGGTAGAGCGCTAGCCTTGAGCTGAAGAGCTGAGGGACAGCGCCCAGGCCCAGAGTTCAGGCCCCACGACCGGACCCCAAAAAAATAAAATAAATAAACAAACAGAAAGCTGCTGCCAGAGCTCCTGCCTCCAAGAACCAGGTGTCAAAGTCAGTGAAACCAAGAAGTCCTTGGGTCCTCTAACCTGGGCTGGGAGCTGCTGGCACACTCGACCAAAGTCCCAGCAAGCTCTCAAGGAGTCATTGCCTGGAAGAGGGCAGAGCCACAGTTCTATGCCATCACCTGTGTCTCTCTGGTTTCTAACTTTCCTTTTTCTTGTACTGGTAGTAGGTCTCAGACTGAAGGCCTAGGCACTATAGCTCCACTTAGGGTTTTGGAGTGATTAATTGGACATAAAGGGTCATAGACTTTGCTGCCTGGGCTGGCTTTGAACCTCAAAGATCAGATCTCAGCCTTCAGAGTGGATTACAGGCATGAGCCACTGTGTCAGCTCTGCTTTTCTTTCCCCCCTCCTCCCCCACCTTTGGCAGTGCTACTGTTTCAACTCAAGGTCCCATGCTGCCTAGATGGACCACTGAGCCACCTCTGAGAATCAGAGGTGGGAAAGCTGCCCCCACTCTCCGCAGCCCCCCTCCACCTCCCCACACCCTGCTAGATGCCCACCCACCCTTTCCCTTTTGCCCATAAGCCACATCAGCATCAGCGTCTAAAAATAAGTCTCCTCAGTGCTGCCAGCTGTTCAGGGGAGGGGGTTCAATCCTGAGGCCTCAGGCTCTGGATAGCACCTGGTCCCGTGTACACAATACCCAGAGACCTTGAGTGGAGGATAAAATCCCTCTCCCCAATGTCTGCTTCCCCACCCCCACCCCCACCGCGGGGCTCCTGATTAGAGAAGCAGCCTGAGCTGAGTTCTCGCAGCTTCTAGGCTATTCAACCCCAGGAGTCCCACCCGGGGACCCCACAGCGCCATGACTTCCATTCCACCGAGGAGAAGAGCAAGAAACCAAGATTGGGGGTGGGGGGTGTGGTCACACACCACAGACGCCCCCTAACTGTAAACCTAGCTACTCATGAGGGGGAGATCTGAGGAGTGAGGTTCAAGGCCTGCCCCGGCAGGAAAGTCGGGGAGATTCAGAACCCACTCACTACCCCAAAGCAGGAAGTGGAGCTTTAACTCAAGTGGTAGAGCACCAGCCTTGAGCAAAGCAGCTCAGGGACAGTGCCCCCCACGAGTAAGCGTCAGTGCGGGGAGGGGCTGAGGGTTCTCTCCCCGGGGTCCCCGGGCCCCCACCCCCGGCGTTGCTCACCGGAGCCTTCATGCTGCCGCCGCCGCTCCGCAGTCCAGAGGTCGCTGTCCCCGAGGCTCGGGCTGGAAAGAGGTGCGAGCCGGGCACCCGCCAAGACCCAGAAACTCAGAGCCAGGAAGCAGTAAGGCAGACCTGGTCCTGGGATAGGGGGGAAACTGAGGCAGGGAAGGGTTAAGGAAACCGGTGTCCAGGAACGAGACGCCCCGAAGTCTCGGGCGACAGGACGTCGTCCCGGCGTCCCCCCCAGGAGCCCGGGGCGGCGACCTTGGGGGACCTCCGGCCGGGGCGACCCCGGGCGACGGGGCGAGAGCCCCGGGAGGGCGCTCGCGCCCAAGGTCACCCCGCGGGTCGGGGGCGGAGGGCGCCAGGATGCAGGAGCCCCGGTTCGACCCCATCCATCACCGCCCTTCCCGCGGGCGCCGGCGCGGCCTGGGACCTCCGGGACGCGGGGTTTCCACCCTTCAGATCCACCGCCCCCTCCCCCGGCCGGATGCTAACCAGGCGGACGCGGTGGGGCGTGCGGAAGACTCACGACCCGCTGCACGGAGCTCCATGTCCCGCCGGCCGCGTCAGCCAGGCGGCAAACGCGAGCCCGGGGCGGAGGCGGCGCCGCGGCCGCAGCTTCTGCGAGCCGAGCTAGCGTAGCCGGAGGC